ACCTCAAAATCTTGGACTTCAACCACCCATGGTAGCTAGGCCTACATGCACAGGCCACTATGCATATGTGCTTTTTCTATTTTTTGTAGAAACAAGGTGTCATCATGTTGCTCAGGCTGGTCTTAAATTCCTGGGCTCAAGCAATCCTCCCTCCCTCTTTGGCCTCCCAAAGTGCCAGGATTATAGATAAGTATGAGCCACTGACCCTGGCCAATTCAGTAATAGTTCAAAAATTACTTGCGATTCCTAGGCTACTTGGTTTAAACAGCAAAGCAAAGCCCACAAAAGCAGCATAAAGAATGGACGCTCAGGGCCAGGCACAGCGGTCACACCTATAATCCCAGCACTCTGAGAGGTGGGGGGGAGGAGCCCTTGAGTCAGGACTTTGAGACTAACCTGACCAAGACTGAGACCCCATCTCTACTAAACATAGAAAAATGAGGGTGCTTGTAGCCCTAGCCTCTTGGGAGGCTGAGGGAGAAGGATCATGTCAAACCAGGAGTTTGAGGTTGCTGTGAGCTAGGCTGAAGCCACAGAACTCTAGCCTAGGTGCCGGGTGATCCAGTGAAACTCTGGCTTCCTCCCCCCTCCCTCCCAAAAATAGGACACAAAGAATGGGTACTTTTTACCAGAAAAAATAAAGCTACATTTGAGAAATAAAATTTGGGTATTAATTACTTTCTGCTAAGAGAAAGAAGAAATACATTGGATTATAAAGTTTAAATTTGACAAGGACAAAAAAAATAGAGACCACCCCCCCCTTTTTATTTTGAGACACAGTCTCATTTTGTCACCCTCAGTAAGTGCCGTGGGGTCACAGCAACCTCTAACTTTTGATCTCAAATGATACTCTTGCCTTAGCCTCCCAAGTAGCTTAGACTACAGGTGCCTACCACAGCCCCCAGCTATTTTTAGAGACAGAGTCTTCATCTTGCTCAGGCTGGTCTCCAACTCCTGAGCCCAGGCAATCCACCTGCCTTGGCCTCCCAGAGTGCTAGGATTATAGGCTTGAGCCACGGCATCTGGCCCCATTTTTTCTAGAGTTAATTTCAAACACTACTTTATGGTATGGATTTTCTCATCCCTGGGTGACCCAGTGGGCATTATCTTCTATTTATTATTTTTTTAAACTTCTTTATTGTTTCAGGTTAACTGAGGGTATAAAGAATTAGATTACACTGTTCGCGTCTGTTAGGTATAATCCCTTTTATAGTTATGCCCTATCCCTAAGAGTGTGCCATACACTGTGCCATTCTGCCCTTTAACTGCACTCCCATTCCCTCCCTCGTTCCCCTCCACCTTGAAATGATTTGAGTATTTCTCTTATTTGAGTAAGAGATTGTCTACAGGCTTGATATTAGAATTGAGTACACTGGATTCTTGCTTCTCCATTCTTTTTTTTTTGAGACAGAGCCTCAAGCTGTCCCCCTGGGTAGAGTGCCGTGACGTCACAGCTGACAGCAACCTCCAACTCCTGGGCTAAA